ATTATTTCATACACCAGTAACTTATCAAATCCCTGAAGAACACAATTACTACGTATCGATTCAATCAATTATAATCTAAATAGTATTCTTAGTTCCCTTTTAGTGACAATCTTATTCCCTTAAACATATTCTACCTAGCTAAACATAGTAACTCCCGAGAACACTAGTTTGATTACGAGTCCCTGTGGGATCAATATCTATTATTACTACGCGATAGACTGTGCACTTGCAGTTAGGTTGTATTAGACATAGAAAGTCGCGATCAAATACCAGCTAATAAATGACATTCAGTATTACTGTGCCCTGGAGTTCCGCACAATTCATAACTTGGTGTCACAGCGGCCATGGTGGATGTTGGAGCTACAGTCAAACTTTCAATTTTTTGAGTAAGCGCATCCACTTTAGCAGTAACACGACCCAAATTCATACATTCCATTCTTGGTAGAATGTTTTTCTGTCGGAGTTCTCTCACCTCTATATTGGAAGTGGTTTTGAGCCATATTCTCAATGAGTTGATAAGCGTCTTCATATGGTTTGTCCATTAGAGCACCGCCAGCTGCAGAGTTCAAATTCAGCTTTGTGTTGTAAAGAAGACCATTATAGAAAGTATGGATTATCAACCATTGTTCAAGTCCATGATACGGGCATAGCCTCAACATGTCCTTGTATCTTTCTCAAGTATCGAAAAGAGATTTATTGTCTTTCTGCCTTAATCCGTTGATTTGGCCTCTTAGCATAGCAGTTTTCCTTGGCGGAAAATATCGGGTAGAAAATATTTTCTTCAACTCGTTCCACGTAGTGATGAAGTTGGATGGTATAGATTAGAGCCAAGCTCTAGCTCAATCTCTTAAATAAAATGGAAAAATACGTAGTCTTATGGCCTCGTTACTGACACGATTTGCTTTTACGGTATCAACATATTGCACAAACATAGATAAATGAAGGTTCGGGTCATCTGTGGAACTTCCAGAAAATTGGTTTTGTTGAACGACTTGCAATAGTGAAGGTTTCAGCTCAAAATCGTTTCTATTGATGGCAAGAGCAGCAATGCTGTTATGCGGTTCATCTTGCGATGGGACATCGTAATCCTTAAGAGGACGGTTTGGTGTGTTCTCAGCGATGGGAATTCTTAATTCTGGGTAAGGAATTTCAGGTTCAGAAAGATTATACTTAATTCATAATTCATTGATTTGGTGTCTTAAGCTAATGAAATGCTCGATATCTTCAATCGATTGCTCAAGCTTTTCGCCTCGAGAGCGAGTGTTTGGCATACAATCGACGAAATTAGAAAAAAAGGAAAAATAATTTGGTGCCTTAGTTTATACTGCGCAACAATGGAATCACAATATTAACTAAATCAGCCTCCCCGACAACGACGCCAAAAACTTGATCGCGAGCTTCAAGCAAGACACTAATGTGTCCGACAAAAAAAGACTGCAAGTATACAGTTGTTCGCATAGTTCTAAAAAGGTTGTCGAACTCACAGGGAAGCAATAATCAAACTAATGCAATCTAAATGTTGCAGTGCAAAGCTAAAGCTAAAATTACGGATTTAAGACGGGAAGAAAGAATTTCTAATTCTAGAGGGTTTTAGAAATAACAATAAAAACGAGTCCAGAATATGGATTCCACGTACCTAAAAGACTTGTAGAAGTCGGATGCTAATTACAACTAAACGCAGTTCCGTAGAAGGTACTAACTTAAAGGTTTCGTCTCACCCTCTCGCGCTATCGACAAAAATCACACCTTTCAACCACAAGATTTTTCTCTCGCTCGCCCGTTCTAATTAAAAATTGTAATTTGGAAGTCAATGAAATTCTAAACGATGCCTAAAGCGCTCTCACTGTTTTTAGGATCGATGCCTAATTTCCACTATCAGTTCATTCCTCACACTCTCTCATTATCGGTCCGAACTTAGCATATTTGTCACTCTCGTGACGGAATAATAAAACAAGAAAATTGGAAAAAAGACTAAAACTAACATACAATTTACATTTTTCGCACCTAAGTTTTCAACAGAGTCCCGTCGGTAACAACTGTCCTCATACGCCGAACTCAAAAGGATTTAGCAACGCATGGTATTATTCACGTCAAACATATCTAGAAATTCTGAATTGAAATCAACATTGCATACAAAACAATGATAATTTAAATGCGAAAGTAAAGAACGAAAATAACCTGAAGAGTAAAACTGAACAAGATTAATACAACGTCAACAGGCTTGTAGTATTTGTAACAAAACAGTACAAGGAAAGAAAAATATAATGAAGGTTGCGACAATTCTTCGATGTGAGCAATTGCCGCTATAAAAACTGATTTAAATGCCTAAATCTAAAGGCAGTTCGACAGAGCTTTCGCATCGGGTTTTCTCTGTGTCTGGAATGTGATCAGAGCAAAGTATATATAGAGGGAGAAGAGGTTGCAATTGCTCAAGTCGTGCAAAAGTGGAGGGGAATGATGCAACTACCATAAGCGATTGCAGAATTTGAATTCTGCCACTTACGCTGCTATGGCGAACGCCATCAGGTCATGACGAACGCTATGATCTTGCCTCATTAGATGACGTGGCTGGCTGATGTATGGCGAACGCCATATAACCATGGCGAACGCCACATCAGCAAAAAGTCAGATCTTCAATCTTTCTTGCTGCATTTTCCTCTTCTTTCACTCTTTTTCCGTTTTGCTCCCGATTCTGCAACAAATGAAACTATCAACTGCAAAACACACAAAACAGAGTAAAATGCAAATAAAACGCGATAGAAACAGACGATTAGTATGTGCAATGAGCCTAAAAATACGATACAATTTCTCGTCATCACGTATGTGAAATGAGACAAAGAAAGAAAGGTGTACAAGCTGTATAAAACCTTGTATGGACTTAAGCAAGCTTCAAAAGCTTGGAATAAGAAAATCGCCAGGTTCTTAAGGGAGAAGGAATTTGTGAAGTGTACGACTGAGCATGGAGTGTATGTAAGAAGAAGTAGTAGTGAATTGCTTATACTATGCCTCTATGTCGATGACCTATTGATAACAGGAAGTTTCAAGAAGGAAATCAAAGATTTCAAACATGACCTAAGTGAAGAGTTTGAAATGTCAGACTTGAGAAATCTCTCATATTTCCTTGGCATCGAATTCTACAAGAGTAGTAGAGGTTTGATGATGCACCAAAGAAGATATGCAGGAAAAATACTCAAAAGATTTGAGATGCAAGATTGCAACCCAACTTCGACTCCAGCTGAGACCAAATTGCAACTGTCGAAGGATTCAGATGAAGATGATGTCGACCCAACTTAATATGGAAGACTTATTGGGCCACTTTGACACATTTGTCACACAAGGTCTGGCTTGACATACATTGTGAGTATGATAAGTAGATTCATGCAGAAGGCAAATGTATCACACTTAGCAGCAACGAAGAGGATACTGAGGTATCTGAAAGGGACTCTCGACTACGGTATTTCGTTTCCTGTAGGTGATGAAGAAAAAAAATGTAAGTTAGTGGGATACACCGACTCTAGTTAGTGTAGTAATGTTAAGGATAGAAAATTCACAGTTGACTATGTATTTATGTTAGGTGGTGCACCAGTTGCTTGGAGTTCGAGAAAGGAGCCAGTAGTGGCATTGTCTTCATGCGAAGCAGAATATATAACTGCTTCTCTTTGTGCATGTCAAGCATGAATGGTGAATCTGGTCGAAAAGATTACAACGAAGAGTCATAGAGCAATTATCATGATGATCGACAACATGTCAGCTATCAACTTGGCAATAAATTCGATAAAACATGGTTGAAGCAAGCACATCGAAATGATATTCCATTATCTTCGAAAGCAGGTAGCAGAAGGGAAGATGAACTTGAAACACTGCAGAACTGAGAATCAGATTGCATACATCACGACGAAAGGAGTGTCAGTTGAAGTGTTTAAGAAACTAAAGACTATAATGAATTTATATAATTTAGACACAATGAATTAGGTGGTGTGTTAAATATGTAATTCATTATTTTGAAAAGATTAGATTTGATTTAGAAATATCAGATTTGATTTTTGAATTTTTATAGTTATACGCTTTACCTTGAGATGTAAGTTAACCTAAATCTATAAATAGAAAAACCGTTTTTTTTAATCATCAAGTTTGATAATCACAGTTTTACAGTTGCAAAGTGATAATAAAATTCCACAGTTGTAAACAGAGAGTTACTCTGCAATTCATACTCATCTTCTTTAAACGTGTTATTCTTTTTGTTTATTGTTATTAAATAAACAATCTTGAGATCAAGATTGAAAAGAATTCACCATAAATCGTAGTTGAATTTTAACAAAACAATGAACGCTTCTTTCTCCGACCGTGCAATGGAAGTTTTCTGATTTAAGAAGAATGTTCTTCATCAATGCTCTGAGAATGATAGGATCTGCAAACACTGAGATGTCATTTTAGATTAAAATTGATGAACTCAGCAGGACGTTTTTGTCACATCAGTAAGATTATTTTGAACAGACGATCTTAACAAAGTTGTAAGAAGAAAAATTGGACTTTCACTATTATGGATCAATGTTCGGACTGCTAAATATACATACTGAGCATACCTGGCCTTGTGTTTAAATGTATTTTAATGGTATCTTTTCCAATCCTGACTAGAATTATATATATGACATCTTAGTTTTTATAGTCCATTCAATTTGTTAGATAGTGCCTTCTCTTTTAAAGAAAAAAAAATTCTATTGAAATATCTTGTACAGTTGCTTTCACCTCATCGGTGAGCTGATACTAAAAGTGATTTCAGATCTTAAGAAGTGCTTCAAGTTAACACAAGAAAGAAGAAGAAAAATATACTTTCCATTTTAAGGTAATATTTAAGCTAAAACATTAAGGAGTATTATAGAAGTTTTCAGCATTGCTACATGATATTTGCCGAGCCACGTATAGCAGAAAACACACAATTTAGTTAAAATTAATATACATATAGCACATTATAAGTAACGTTTCTGTTTCTTATTTTATCATCAAAACTTATGACCAAGTGTTGGAGGTTTGTTCTTTTCAGGTAAACAAGGAGCTCCGGTAGTAAAATCAGTAGAATCTTCTCCTCCTGCTCCTGCTGTTGTATCATCACGTTGCAGCTGAGATTGATTAGAATCTGAGCTTTGTTGTTGTTGGTCACTCTTTGAAACATTTTGTGCACTTGAAAACAAATCAACTCTTTCAGAATCTGATATTTTTCCTCCCTCAAGTGGTGTGCCATGTTTGTAGACTACTCTCAACGCTTCATCTGGTGATAGTCTTGCTTGTGCTGTTCCATATTTTATATCATCTTTGCTTTTAGCCATGGTGGTTATTTAAGTCACATATAGATTAATCCAAGTGCTTTATGTTATTCATGAGTGGTGACAAAGGGGTGGATTTATAGGCAGCGAGCACTATGATGCGTGGATGGTTATTTGTATGATTATGTGACAAGTGTGCATGAGCAAGGTTGAAGAGATTCTTAGGTGGTGACATGTGGTAGATTCTGGAAATGAAAAATATGTTCCACCAGAAAATTTGTTTATGAGCTAATATTAAACTTGCTTTTCTGTTGTTTAATTGTAATTTTGGTTTATCATTTTTAACTTTTTTGATTTTTTTGTCCTTTGTTTTAAAATTTAAAATTTTTATTTTTCTATTTTTATTTTTGTTGACTTTTGATTCTCCTATTTTAAAATTTGAAATTATGATCAACTTATTTTTATTTTTTTAAATTTTTAATCTCTTTTTTTAATTGAAAAGAGGACTAAAATCTCAAATAAATTTAAAATAAGAGGAGTAAAAATAAAAAAAAATAAAATAAATGGATCAAAATTATAAATTTTAAAATAGAAGACCAAAAATAAAAATGAAAAGATTAAAATTACAATTAAATCTAAAATATTTTAGTCATACAAATTTAGAACATCTTTAAATTAAGATTTTATTTGATCTTTATATATATATATATATATATATATATATATATATATATATATATATATATATATATATATATATATATATATATATATATATATATATATATATATATATATATATATATATATATATATATATATATATATATATATATATATATATATATATATATATATATATATATATATATATATATATATATATATATATATATATATATATATATATATATATATATATATATATATATATATATATTATAAATTGTTTTTATAAGTTATTTTGAGAACTTATAAAATAAGTTTAAATTTTTTTATAAATAATGTTATAAGATGTTTTAATAAACTCCTCTAAGCAGTGTTACAAAATTTATGCCATAAAATAAACTCAAAGAAGTCAAACCAAATAAACTTAAATTCTTAATTATGTAAAAGTTCAAATTTATTTAAAATTAAAAATTGGTTGTAGAATGATTATTAATGTAGTTTTAATTAATAATAATTTATGCATTCTGTTATAAGTTGGTCAGAGGTCTAATAGAAGGGTTTAATTATGAACAAGCTTAATTAAGATTATCTAACGTATATAGTTAGTATATATAAGATTTCAGATGAATTTTGTAATCTCTATTTTTTGCTACATGCATTTTAAATTTTGAATTGACTGAGTGTTGGAATGCTAACATTGCAGGTCTACCCCACGCCATTATATCGAAGATCAAAGTCGCATATTCTAGAGTCCTACATCATCAATCAACACCAGTTATGATTCCATAATGGAACAGTGACGTCGTCTGTGGGAATTGACTCATAACTCCCTCAAAGATCATCCATAATCTAAAGCCAGATGTTTGCCAGGACCATCAAGAAATGGAGATAGTAACCTCTTACGCTGCACCGAAGATCTATTTCGAATCCTTCGATCATGTTCTATCTTAACTACCGATTATGGATAACATTGAAGGTGAGAAAATACTTAGAAGGGGGGTTGAATAATTATGTAGAAAAACTTAGAAATAAAAACTCAAGGATTTTTATCCTGGTTCGTTGAACTCAACTACTCCAGTCCACCCTTATCAAGAGTGATTTGCCTTTCTCAAACAAGGACTTAATTCACTATTAAATCAACTGATTACAATAGTAAGCACTAAGAACAACTGTTCAAAGTCTTCTTAAGAACTACTGATCCTACCTGGATCTTCTTAAGGTTCTTTTACAATCAAATGTAAGAATAATACAAGTGTTTGAAATGCTTCTAATAAAGTTTTATCACAACTGTGATTTTTCACTTAAGATTTAAGAACTATGAAATAAATTCAGCTAATGAATATAAATTGTATGAGAGCTTGTAATGAATTTTTTCAAGTATTTCGTCAACTGAAGAAGATGAATGGAGTCTTGCTTTTATAGGCACAGAGATCCAAGAAGTTCTCACGTTGAAGGTTGTGCACAAAAAAGGTCTGAGCCTTTTTGTCTTCACATCACTTGACCTTTCCTAGAAGTAGAATGCACAGAAAAATCTTTTTTGTCTGTGTTCTTGTGTCTAGCATAAATGAGGAAAGAGTCGTTTGGTCATTCCAACGGACATAACTTTGAATTCTTCTTCAACAAGTTTCAGCAAGAATCATCAGAGTCTAGATTGATCAGAGCCTTCTGATGTTCATCAGAGTTTGCTGAATCAGAGTCTTTGCAGCATGTGTGCTTTCAGCGTGTATTTGTTCAGAGCATAGTTTATACTCAGATCCTCAGTACAGGCAGCGTTAGTACTATCAGAGTCTTCTGAAATAACTGTGCTTGAAACTCTTCATACAGAATGCTTCAATGTTTCAGATGCTTCTGGCTTCTGCTTCAGATTCTTCTGTAGCTACTGCTTCAGATCCTTCTGTAGACAGCACTCAGAATCTTCTAAGAGATGCTTCTGATGCTTCAGAGCCTTGCATAATTTCATGTTCAGATCTAATTTGCTTCCAGAATAATATTCACTTTTAATATTTGCAGCAAACATTCTAAAACAAATTTTAGAGTATATAATTCTTTAATACAAAATTTCATAAGAGTTATCGTCAAAACATAGAGATATAATTAAGAACCAATCTGTGTTCTAACAATCTCCCCCTTTTTGATGATGACAAAAACATAAGAAATTTTGTTCAATTTAAAATATAATTATAACTCCCCCTGAGATAATGAATCTCCCCCTGAGATAATGAATCTCCCCCTGAATTGAATACTTAGAAGAAATAGAAACTTTCCTTTTTGCATGAGTATTCTTTTCAAGATCAGAGCCTGATTGTTCCAAAAATAATAGATCTTAACTTGGATGAGTGTTTCAGAATCAGAGCCTGATAGGTTAAACTTGATCTGGGGATCTCAGAGTTTCTTTTAAAGAATTTGTCAGATATTTCAAATATTCTGAAAAGCTAAGAATTCACGTTAGTTAAAATTGATATGTCTGAAGTTCATTTAGTTAGAGTTTATTTAAACAGTCAGATCCATTTTCTCCCCCTTTTTTGTCATAATCAAAAAGTAAAAAAATGTTTAAAAGACAAATAAAATGAAATACAGAAAAGATAAAACATGTAGAGAAAACACAAAGTCATTCATTCATTCAGATAACAAACAGACAAAAAGATAAGATGTTCATACACCAGATGATAGAAAAACAGAACAACAAAAAACAAGTGCAGAACAAGAATGCAAAACATGGAAAAGAAAACTAGGGCTGACGAGAAGCAATCAGGGTCAGAAGATCAGTAATCTTTGCAGTAGATTCTTCTTGCTTAGCCATCCAAGTCTTGATCTCTTCAGTAGTTTGTTCCTGTTTTATCATCCAAGATCTGATTTCTTTAACTTCTTGAACAACATTTGGAGTCTCAGTCTTCATTTCAGATGCAGAAGGTGCAGAAGCAGATGCATCAATCTCCATGGCAGATGCAGGAGTGTCTTCTATCATTTCAGCATCTTTAGCAGGAGCATCTTCCAGAAGAAGCACTGGGGTTGTGAGAATGCTCAGCAGAGTCTGTCTGGCCATTTCAGCAAACTTAGCCTTTGCATCATCAGCACAAAGTGTTCTGAGATCAGATGCAGCAGAGTTGAACTTTGAGATGAATCTGTCCCAAGAAGCTTCAGATTCAGCAGGATCTATACTAGCCATGCACTCTTTCTCTACAGAAGCAATCCCCTTACGCATTTCCTTCTTGAAATTCGTAAACAAAGTAGAAACATCTATTCTGGATTTAGGGTTCAGAAAGTCTTCTATGGTGACTTGCTGTGATGGTTCAAGAGATGTTTGAGTTTGTTTAGGAGGTGAGTGATCAGATGATGGTTGTTCAGATTGAGGTTGTATGGATGGTGGTTGTTCAGATAGTTGTGGTACGGATGTTTGTGGTATGGTGAGTTGAGGAGTAAAGGTGACAACATCAGACGGGGATGGTAGAAAATCTGTGAAGTTAAATTTGGAGCGAAGAGGGTGTTAAGAAGTAGGTAGGTCAAATGGTAGTGGTTTGTAAGGATCAGGAATATGTAAGCAAGTTGGTGAGGGGACTTCAGATTCATCAGAATCAGATGATTCAGTTGAATGACATGAAGTAGAAGATAAGACATACATGGTTGCAATGGGTTGCACATCCATAATGTTTTCAGATTGATTTTGTGGTTCAGAAGATGGTTGTTGTTATGGTTCAGATTGATGAGGAGTTTGTTGAGTTTCAGATGTTGGAATTGTTGATTCTTGTGGATTTTGTGTAGGTTCTGTAGTTTTGGTTATTTGTGGTTCTGATGGGGAAATTTCTGGTTGAGATATTGATTGTTTTTCTGGTTGTTGTTCTTCTGGTTGGTTTTCTCGTTGTTGTTCTGGTTGTTGTAGAGTAGATATAACTGGTGGTGTTTGGAGTGGTTCTGTTGTTTGAGAAGGTAGTGATTCAGATGAGGGAATGTCAGATGATGGTTGTGGTGCAGATGCTGTTTGAGTGGATGCTGGAGGTGTAGGAGAATTAGGTTTAACAGAATCATTTGGAGTTTGTGATTCAGAAACCTTTTGTACAGCAGGTTGATCAGATGCAATTGGTTTGGATGGTTGTTCAGAGGGTTGAGATGGATCAGGTGATATAGTTGGTTTAGAAGATTGAGATGGAGCAGGAATAGTTTGATTTTGAGTGGGAGGAGGTTTGGGAACAGAACTAAAAGTTGATTCATTCATAACAATCTTAGCAAAAGAAGATACAGAAGATTTAGTACCCTTAGTCTTTGTGCGCTTGGTAGGAGCAGAGGGAACTTCTCTAGAAAATTTTCTCTTGATCTGCTTCTGTGGCTTGTCATCAACTTTTGGCTTCTTCTGAGCAACAGCTTCTTCTGCCTCTGATTGATTTCTCTTTCTCATGTTC